TGAACGTGCGGCTGAGGAATATGTTCTTCTAGGATGCGTATATGAATATGATGAACAAGAAGGAGGATATGGTACTTAAAGATTCACTAACGTCAATTTTCTCGAGGTATGGTTACTTTGTCACATTACTATTGTCATGATTTTTACTGTTTTACAATTTATCGCCCGCCATCTTCCACATGTTCTCATTTCCTGAACAAGTCGAAGGGTGAAGATTAAATGCTAAAGGTTCTAGAGAAGGCGGCTAACAATGGTCCCGGAGCTCGTACATTCAAGCGTGGCAGTTCGGCGACGCAGAGATGAACAAGTCGTGAGAAGATAGCCTCCAAACGAAAAAACCATGCAATGAGGTGAGGTGTGTAGATAACCGGATATTGCATTTTTGGGAACCTTGGCATCTCTTATTATTTGGACGTACTTCTTTCTACATAGTCTCATTTTGGAGTCAGCTGAGAGAAGTGATTGTGTAAAATGTCCTATCGATGGGATAGGTATAAAGTGGCACCCACACATTTTTTTACCCTTTCAACTCTAAATGTATCGGCGTTTTACGCATTTTTCTAACAGTAATCGTTTTCATTTGAAGAGTGATGTTGTCCTCATGTGAAGTTTCGCCTAGGCAAAACGATGAGGATCAGCACAAGCTTGCGGAGGCGTTCAATGTGAGTTCCAACATTTCTACTGAAACTAAGGAGAAGATTGAATCGTTAATATGATTTAGTATACTCAAGTGTGTTATTTTCAGAAGAATCGGAAGGAAAATTTTGTGGACTCTCATATGAAGGCAGGAACTAGCAGCAAGCCTCAGATGAGGATTCCCACAAGCGGCGGTCCCAAGTATTTTTTGCCGCTTGTGTTCTATTTTATTGTAATATTTTTACTTCCAGAATGTAGCTGCCGCATGGAAAAAGGTGCCGTTCGATCGCGAAAGGGATATGGGAGTTGTTGATGGTAAAAAGATGTATCTCGAAGAATTGAAGGAACGTGCAGGACAGCTGAGCCCTCGGTTCACTTCTGGAACTGGCCAGAAATTCCTTTAACTGGCTTTTGTGTTATGGCGTCATGAAGAAGTATCATTCTTCACAACACGGGCTAGCTGCTCTCTATCGTCTGTCTTCCAGTAATTCATCCGGGTTTTCCATTCTTTTGTTGGTTCCTTTGAATGGCGCTCTATACGGTTCATCGTCTGTCTTCTAGTAGTTCATCCGGGTTTCTAATTCTTTTGTTGGTTCCTTTGAATGTATTGTAAAGAGGCTTTTTTGTGGAAGTGATTGCTTAGAGGTGTTTTTGTTCTTTTTTATTCGGCAATCCCAGTGTCTGTAGTAAGCTATGGTTTTGATTATTATATAAGGATGGATGGAGCTAGCTACGATGTGCTTGTTAGGCAGTTGATGGTTGTGCTTAGGTTATAGTGAATTGATAATTTGCACATGGGTCCTGGAGGAAAATGTTGCTCATTTTGATATGGCTATCCCAAGATACAGCCATATTCTTGATTGCTAACCATGGTGTGAACTTAGCCATGCCTGGCAGCATGTTCGTTTC